CACCATGCCCAGCTAATTTTTTGTATTTTTAGTAGAGACGGGGTTTCACCATGTTGACCAGGATGGTCTCGATCTCTTGACCTCGTGATCCACCCGCCTCGGCCTCCCAAAGTGCTAGGATTACAGGCGTGAGCCACCGCGCCCGGCCTTTGTTGTTTTTTTTTTTGAGATGGAGTCTCACTCTCAATCCAGGCTGGATGGGAGTACAGTGGCACGATCTCAGCTCACTGCAACCTCTGCCTCCTGGATTCAAGTAATTCTGGTGCCTCAGCCTACCTAGTACCTGGGATTACAGGTGCCTGCCACCATGCCCGGCTAATTTTTTTATTTTTAGTAGAAATGAGGTTTCACCATGTTGGCCAGGCTGGACTCCAACCCCTGACTTCAAGTGATTTACCTGCCTTGGCCTCCCAAAGTGCTGGGATTACAGGTGTGAGCCACTGTGCCCTGGGCTCTTTTGTTATTTTTAACTGGCCCCTTTCAGCCACATCTGAGCTTAGGTTAATGAGGTGAATTTTGGCTAGTCCCTAGATGACTACGGGAACAAACCTGCCTTGGGGTGGGCATAGTAGCTAAAGGTTGAGCCAATGGCCAATGATTTGATTAATTGTGCCTTTGTAAAGAAGTCTTCATAAAAACCCAAAGGACTGAGTTCAGGGGGCCTTCAGAAAGGTAAACAGTCATACATTCATGTCCTTGGAGGGCGGGGGACCCCAGCTCCACAGGGATAGAAACTCCTGCTAGACCTCATCTATAAAGGAAAAGATACATATCTTTTTTATCTGGCTGTTCATTTATGTCCTTTAAAGTATTCTATATAACTGGTAAATATATTTCCAGTTCTGTGTGCCACTCTAGCAAATGAATTGAACCCAAGGGGCTTTTGAGAACCCTGATTTATAACTAGTCTGTAAGAAAGCAGAGGCAAAACAACCTGGAGCTTGAGGTTGGCATTGAAAATGAGGGTGGGGCAGTTTTATGAAACTGAGCCTTGAACCTGTGGAATGTGATGCTCTCTCCAGGTAGATAGTATTGGAATTGAATTAGAGAACATCTGGCTGGAGTCTGTTGCAGAATTGATTGCTTGCTTTGTGGGAAATTCCCCCTAGGTCTTGTGAAAGTATAGAGGGGGAAACTGAGTTCATTTATTTTTACTCCTTATCACAGTTTCATGGTTTAACTCCTGTTAAATAATAGAAATTTATATCCAGCTGTCTGAGGCTCTTATTTCTAGGGCACAAGATGGTCATTAGTCAGGTATTTTTTCCTTTTTTTTTTTTTTTTTT